TCTGAAAGAAAAAAAAAAAAGCCTCTCCCCTCCCTCACCTAAATCATCCTATGATTTAAGAAGCTCTAAGGCAACTGTGGGTTTTGATTATAGGGATAAAAAACTGGGATGGAGGATAAAGCAGTGATAGGATCAAGAGCCTGAGATTTTAAAGCTTATAATGAAAGAAGATGCCGATAGTTTTGAGGTCACGTAGACCACAAAAATAAACGTCATCCACAGAGAAAAGTGATTTTCATTCCGCGGTGCAAAAGAATTTCAAAGATTACCAGGTCTCTTGTACTCTGTTTGAAGAACCAGGTCTCTTGTACTCTGTTTGAAGAAAAGGGCCATTTTTGGAATTTGCATTTGCCTGGTTTTAATTTGCAGATGTTGGCTTTTGGTTATGCCTTTCTCAGCTCAGGAGCACTGTAGATCATCTTGCAGGAGTGAAAATGTGACTCATAGGTATGACTCTGTCACAGGCAACACAGAGTAAAAGACAACACAGAGTGGATTTGGATTTAAGAACCTACAAGATCGGAGGTTTTACCCTACTTACTGTTTCACACACAAGCTCATCACTGGCCTCCTCCAGCACTACGTTCACGAGACCTCAAATTCCCTCTTCAGCAGAGAGATCACTGCTAGTAGTTTTCAGGACATGCCACTTCTGTTTAGTCCAGCCCATACTACTTGAAGCAAGAAAGCAGCAGGCTTCTGCGTGAGAGTTCAGGAGTTCCATTTTAGACATGAACCCCCTACACATGCACACACGTGCGCATGCGCGCACACGCACGCATCTGGAATTCAATTGGCGTTTACCGATGGCAGACTCCTGCCTCAGCTCTAGAAAGTGACCCAGTCCTCCTAAAGCTCAAAGAGTTCACAGGAAATAACCTGATGCGGAGAGCTGCTCTGAGAAGCATCAATATACTTTGCACATTGACAATTTGAAATAGTCAAGAAGTAGAAATCTGGATGCCCTGAAGTCACAAGATTATTTGAAACAGTAAAATTTTACTTCTTTTGTCTTAGGGCTTTTTAGACTTTGGGATGTGCCCATGTCATGTTCAAAGCCTGCTTTTTCTCCTCACGAAAAAAATGTATTTTTGATTGATCACCAGATACTAAAAACACAAAAGACCTGAGCTTTTAAGAATTTTTTCTGAAGCCACAAGAATTGGTGAAAGTCTGGTGGAACGGCACCATTTCTACAAAACATATTGAAATAATGACTGAAAGGATGTTAGATGTAATAATTAGTAACTTCGCCAGGCTTTTGAGAGGTTATAGATGTGCAATTTAAAAATGTTTAACATTTCCCCCTCCCCTTTTACTTTTAAGGTCTTGTTGGTTTCTTTGCCAAAACCATCGCTCTTCAGAAAGTCAGAAGTTCCTATTTCATAGTGGTGCTTTTTTCTTCTATTGTTTTTCAGGCCGTTAGTGTATTTGGGCTTAAAAGTTTTTGCCCGGTTCAGGGTCTCCGAGTTTTTAAACTGTTCGGAAGCAACGCTGCGAGCGTGGCTGCAGGTGATTGAAGCCAACTACCACTCCTCCAACTCATATCACAACTCCACGCACGCGGCAGATGTCCTACATGCTACTGCCTTCTTTCTTGGGAAGGAGAAAGTTAAGGTATAGCCATCACCAAGCAGTCCTTTGGGCTAGGACTTCGGTGTGCTTTATGTGCGCTTTATTTCATGTGTGTCACTCAAAAGTCTGATGTTTACTTAAATAATGGTCCTGGCTTCATAAAGGTGTTCTGCCTGTGAAGTCTTTTCCTGTGATGCCTGCAGGCCCACACAGTTTCTCTAAACTTGTTTATATGAGTGAGGAATTTATATTTTTAATAGCAACAAAAGGGGGTAAAAAACTGGCTCTTTTCTATTGCTTAGTAACTGGCTATTAGTAACAGCTCTTAATAAAGGAGCAGGAAGTGTTGATCTCTTCTTCTGAGTATCCAGCAATAGGATGTGTGGGAATGGTTCAAAGCTGCGCTGGGAAGGTTCAGACTGGACATAAGGAAGCCCTTCTTTGCCAAGAGGGTGGCCAAACACTGGAACAGGCTTCCTGGAGAGGTGGTCGATGCCCAAAACCTGTCAGTGTTTAAGGGGTATTGGGACAATGCCCTTAACAACATGCTTTAACTTTCGGTCAGCCCTGAAGTGGTCAGGCAGTTGGACTAGATGATCGTTATAGGTCCCTTCCAGCTGAAATACTCTAACCCATCATATCCTAAAACACACAAGCTGTGTAGCAGCAGAGTCAGTACGGAGTCAGTCAGGCAAGCACACAAAGTGGAAGGATACCACTAGAGGATCCATCCACCATTATAGGATTTAATGCAAAGATAGTGCTTAGGTGACAGCACAGTAAAAGGACATTAAGGACAAGAGGATTTGGGTAGGGGTGGGAGGGGGAGTTTTGGAGTAGGTAACCTGTGGGGGCAGTGAGTGGAAAACAATTGCAAGGAGGTAGAATCCCTGCACTTAAGCTTACACTTGCATATTTGTGGGTACCTGGAAATGATCAGAAATTATTTACTGTCATTTTTTGTGCCATGTTGTACTTTTTCTCTCTTACTGTAGGGAAGCCTTGACCATTTAGATGAGGTGGCTGCATTAATAGCTGCCACCATCCATGATGTAGACCACCCTGGACGGACGAACTCTTTCCTGTGCAATGCAGGCAGTGAATTAGCTGTCCTTTACAACGATACAGCTGTATTAGAGAGTCATCACACAGCACTGGCGTTTCAGCTTACAACTAAAGACAGCAAATGCAACATTTTCAAGAATATTGATAGGTGAGTGTGCTGGAGAAGGGGAATGTGCATGTGTAGATTGCTTGTTTGGGGATTTTAGTTTGGGGCAGATTGAGAGCCTACCCTCTAAAACAGAATATATAATTTGAATACAGACAAATATTTAACCTCTTTCAGAATCCTATGTAGACATGAGTTTTAAAAAGGCTTTAATTGTCCCTCTGTCCTCTAATTTGTATTTTTTGGAAGCATATAGAGATGTTTGATAATCTTTTATGGATTGTATTGGCATGGTCTAATTGGCAGCCTCAAGGCTGCATCTTGACCTCACTGCCTTTTTGTTGCAGGAGCCTGGAAATCTATTTTTTTGGACGAAATGTTTCCACCCAAACAGACACTGTGTGCTGTGTCTACACACGGCCCTATCCTTCCTGGCACTACTACATTCACATGGGGTGGAAAGGGGTAGCTACTGGATGGTAGCTGAGGAAGCTGAAGCTCTGGGAGAGTTGGAGGCACTCTGCTGCTGAGCACGTAGCCTGGGAGTTCCTATTGCAACAGCCTAGCTTTTGCAATGACAGGGTGGGAGAGAAAGGGATCTGAAAGGGCCTGACCCCAAACAGGTAATGAGTTGGTCTACCCCCCGTAACACTATTGGTTTTTGAAAAACCTGAGATCCAAGTGCCAAGCTAAAATACAGTGAGATGGAAATGTGTTGGTTCCATTCCTGGAGAAGGTGTCTTAGTGTTACAGCATTATGAAATTGAATTGTAAATTTTTATTGAATTTAGGGCATTTGTTTTCATTAAGTAAAAATAACAGAAAAAAAAGGCAATACAGGAACTCAAGAGTTGGAGGAACCTGGAGAAGCATGATCTGGTCCATGCCTCCAACCCTAGACCATTCATAACTCTGAAGGTGCCAGCTCATGTGGATGAGCCCCCAAACAGTTTTTTTCCAGTGCTGCCTGGGCAGGGACAAGGAAAGGACAGAGGTCAGTCTGGCAGGCTTGTGAGTAAGAACTGCTTTTCTTTCCTAGAAATCACTACTGGACGTTGCGACAGGCCATTATTGATATGGTTTTGGCAACAGAGATGACAAAGCACTTTGAGCACGTGAACAAATTTGTGAACAGCATCAACAAGCCAATGGCATCTGAGGAGATCAGCTCACATGTAAGTGCTTCCAGGACTTTATGCCTTCAGACATTTCAGTGAAGTTCTTCCAAGATGGTAACTTTAAGTACCATTTTCATTCACATTTTATTAATTTGCACTGTGGTAATGCCCCACACAATTGGATTTGTGACCTCACACCTAAAAGTGTAAAAAAATAATTTTATTTTCTTGTTTTCTATGTCGGGCTCTGCCCTTAGCTCATTTAAACACTTTTGTTTTATAAGTCTTGGTTTCAAAGCCATCTGATGTTCACAAAGCATACGGATGGGTGCTTTTTTGTACATGCAAAATTCTGTGTGTGGAGCCAGGTTTGGCACTTGTGCCTTCAGTCCTGCCTCCAAACAGTGGGATACGCCTAATGCTGGGGATGGTAACTGAGGAACCTGCCCTGATGGTTTTGTGTCTATGTAATCTGGAGCCTTCAATCCACAAGGAATAACTCCATTGCTTCATGAAACCTCTCCACCCCATCCCCATCCCTGATGGTACCAAGAGATGTCCGGGCCTTTATTCCTGTCAGTTATACACCCTACTGCTCCATCACCAGCCAGGTTCTATTTCACAAGCCACCTCCGAGGTTCCCAGCCTCCTCTTTACCTTCCCTTGTTGCCTCCTGAGGTTGAGCACTCAGTGCCCAACAGGGTTCTCCAGGGCAGCGTTACTCACCTAAGCAAAGACCATCTTATCACAGCTTAGCAAAAATAGTGCTTTGTTAGAAACATTGGGGAAAAAAATCTTGAAGGTCAGTGATATTAAAAATAAAAAAAAGTAACTTCTGCCAGTTGTCCACAACTGGACTTTTTGCACTGCAGACTGTCATGGGTGCAGAAACCAGTCAGGGCCGGTAGGGTTTGTGACTTTAGGGACAGTATTACATCAGTTGAACTGACCTGCTTCTAGGGACCGCTGAGGTCTGTTCTCCCAACAGTTTGAGCTGGAAATCACAAACGCTGCTGAACTTCACAGGATCTGTGAATGCTTTTCACTGTACTCCCCAGCGCTTCCAAGCTCTGGAGTGCTCACTGGACACGGCACTAGGTCTGAATTAGCCAGATCATCTTCAGTGCCAGAAGTCCCAAGGCACAGAGGGACGTGGTTTGGGCACCGCTGGGGGCCCCTATCACTGTCTCTGCACTGCGCTCCCAGGACAGCGCCTGGCACCGTGTTTCATGGGTTTGCTCTCATGGCATGAGCTAAGCCAGGACAGTTGGGGATCCTAGTTTAGATCAAAGCCCAGAGGAGAGGTAGGTCCACTTCGGTGGGCGGTGTGGAACTAACCCCTCTCAGGTTTTTCTGTACTTACATGTGGGCCAGATAGCAGCTTGCTCCACCAATTTCTAAAAAAGCCCTCTGAGGTGTCACTGGCAAATGTGGCTTCTCACGGTGCTTCATTTCTCCCTCTGACAGCTTAAGTGTTTTTCTGAAATGTTTCCTCCATCTCCACCCTTTTAAGATCTCATTAGTTTTCTGGCATCCCCACACTGGCCTGTAGGATTGAGAGTCAAAAGCCTCACTGAAACCACAGTATTTCCAAGTGCTAAACACGTTTCTGGGAATCTTCCTTTTATCCCATGAATGCCTTTCTTCCAGCACTTACTTACTTACTAAAGAGCTTTTAAATGCTCTCCGTACATTGTACTGCAATCAGCCTTTCTAACCTACAGAAAACATTTTCTTTGACTCGCTCTCCTTTATCTTACTGGTTTATAGCAGAGGCTATTTTAAAATGTACAAGAGTTAGAGAGCAATAAAAGAAGTGGAGCACAGAACCACTTGTAATACAGACTTGTTTTTTTCCCCAGTATTAGGTTGTTCTGTTCCTTATTGTTAATGGTGCCTCTTCCTATTTTTATCTTGAACAGCAGTTAAGGAGCAGGGCTAATTTGGCAGCTCTTTGCTGGGCTGCCCATGCTGGGAAAAAAAAAAAAAAACACAACTGCTAAACATAAAGTTAGAAGATTAATGTCTGAATTGGCAAGAGTCATTGCAAAATATCTCCCCATAAACCACAAAGACATTAATTTAGCCGTGGTGGTAAAAAGTTTTTAATGTTTCACTTTTTGATTCCAGACTTGAATTTAGCAGTGAAGGGAGGCCATAATTACACAAATGTATTATTTTGAAAATAGTGTTAATGCTATGGTAAGCTGAGGTGGAGGCTTTTTATCACTCAATAAGGAACATAATACACCTGTGCCCTTCTAAACTGTTCAAGACTCAGAAGATGATGCCACAGCAGACTTGTTAACGATCACTGTGCCCCCTCTGACCGCTCTCCAGAGCGGTCAAAAAGCAGTTTGGTATTTTACTGCCTAGCAAGCACAGATTTTCTGCAGTCAGTCCACCACTGCTGCACTTTCCTACCGTTAATCTCATAGACTATCTGAGTTTTCATTCCAGCTGGTAACTAAGACCAAAAAGTATTCCAGGCCAAGGGTGCAAAATCTGGCACAAAGAAGGCAGTTTTATTTGCAAACGTACTGGAACTGAATGGCACAGACCTGCTTTTCTGCCTGTAAAAGAAACAGTCAGTTATGCAAGTCAGTTCACCCCCCTGTGCCTGCCTCAGTTTTCCCACCTAGGAATAAAAACCAAACTCTGGACACTCACCTAAATGAAGCAGCTCCCTACCATCCCCACCCCATAAACTTTACTACTAATTGTGAGAATCTCCATCACTGTCATATGTAACAGGGCTACCATTAGTTCCTTAGCGAGGCTGCAGTTATCAGACATCACTTCCTCCTCCAAATTCCTGGTGGCTGCGTGAAATCAGAAGGTGTCAGGCTGGGTGCCTGCTTACTGCCCAAGTGCAACAGAGCTGGTAAGGATGCCCTCACGCCTGCTAGCGGGGATGCTGGCTACTGGCCCCTGTAACCACCTCTCTTTTGCAGAGCGAAGGCAGCGACTGTGAATGTACAGCCAATATAAAGAATTTCCCAGATAACCAGACACTGATCAAGCGCATGATGATCAAATGTGCGGATGTAGCAAATCCATGTCGCCCCCTAGAGCTATGCATCGAATGGGCAGGGAGGATTTCAGAGGAGTATTTTGCACAGGTATGTGTATTTTTATAATTTGACTATTATGTTATGTAAGAAAGCACACGTCAGCTGGTGTGCTGTTCCACACGAGGTCTGCCTGGCATCACCACAGAGTCCAGAAGTACACTTTTTGTCCCCAGTCAGAACTGGTCCCTCACTTTCATGCTGAAAAATCCACCCCAGTCAAAGTTAGCTAGTTTTCTTACCATGAAGCTTGTGGTACCGAATGGTGGAAAGAAGGTTTTACACTTTCAGTTTTCTCTGGCCAAAGCAAAATGATTTGGCTAACCTTAGTCAATTTAATTGGCTGAAATTCAAGACTGTCACGATTCTAGCTTCTAGTCCCAACACCTTCCCTGAAAGACAGCATGAAGATCCATGCCTGACAAAGCCCTCAACTGAATCATGAGGCTGGCCCCTTCTCTTCTGAGATGGCACCCGAACTATTGTCGGTAGGCAGATGACGTAGCAGGCCAGTACTGCAGGCATGTGGGCAGTGTTAATGCTTATCACATGGGATCTCTCTGGACAGAACTGGAAGCTCAATTTCCTTTCTTAATACTCAGTTTTTCTACCACAAATACACCACCTTCCTGAAAGTGAAACACTCCTCTCCGTGAACAACTGATAGATTCTTACCTTTTGTTTGCCACTAATGGTGTGGAAATCAGAAGCTACAACTGGAGAGACAGAAAAGCTGCCACGCCTACCATCCAAATCCAGATCATATATGTAACAGTTATTACTGAAAGAAAATAGTTGTTAATGCTTGATTTCATTTTAATCATAGCGCAGAAATTTGATGACTTCCTAGGTAAGATCAAGGATCATTTCGGTTTTACCTCCCTAGCAGTCAAGGTATCATGTACTAGCTTTAAATTGCCAGTCTATATCTCAGGTACTATCCTACCTGCATCAATGTGAGCTGCTGAGAACTGTTCTGCTCTTCATTCTCCTCACCTGGTAATTTGGGGGGCTGGGCTGCTGCCAATACCAGCATTAGGTGCTGCCTATACTACTTAGAATTTAATTAGAAAAAAACATTTTAAGACTACTGAGATGATTGGCGCCTCCATCACACTGAGCACAACAAAAGCAGCCCTCTTCCAGTTGTGGGCACAAAGTTAAAGGGGGCATACCCTTACTTCTATTCATCTTATAATCCAATAGAATCAGAGAAAGTTGCAACAGCAACATCCCTCTTACTTAGAAGACAAATGGTTTGAAAGAGCCACTAGAGATGTGGAGAGATCAAACCTGTCCTCTGCTAAAGGACTCTGCAACCACATTTTCCATTTTTAGCTGGTGTGCCCTAATCACCAGACTAGAACGTTCTGTCTCGTCGGAGTTAAGACCAATCACAGCACTACAGTTAACAGCATACTTGTGAAAGGGAAAAGATGTTGATTTCAGTCCCTGTTCCAGATGAAATAAAGCACATGAAACTAAGGCATCTCACCTCAGGGCTTCTAAGGTTTGTCTCAAATCTCCTACTGCATTTCGTCTAATCCCCTGGCCTTTGTTACTCCAGCATGAAAGCCAGCAAAGCTCTAGGGACTAACTGGAGTTTTGTTTTCTTAGACTGATGAAGAGAAGAGACAGGGTCTGCCTGTTGTAATGCCAGTATTTGATAGAAACACCTGCAGCATCCCCAAGTCTCAAATTTCCTTCATTGATTATTTTATAACAGATATGTTCAATGCGTGGGATGGTAAGTACTTCTGCTTTTTTTTTCCCCCTTGTTCTGAGGCAGAGATTTCTACAGACTAAAATGAATAACCTCAAACTTGCCTTGAGTCCTTTTTTTTCAGGGGCAGTACCCAATATATAAGCAGTACAGCATGGGATCTAAGCAATGATGCTACTGAAGCCCATTTCACTGCACACACCACCAGCTTTATGAAAGCTGAGCACTTACCAGACAATCTGTGTAAAGAAGGAAGGAGTAATGGCTTAAAACTAAGCTTTTCTTCATCTAGGTCTTTTTCCATTAGCAATGTATTTCTTCTGAGTAGCAGAAACTGAGACCGCAGGGGTTACCTGTTAGCGTAACTTAGTAGAGTTGTCATACATTAAGAAAGGGATTTGCTTGAAAGAGAAACAGACAGAAAAAAACTTTTCCCCTTTTAGCATTAGTTTACAGCTGAAGGAACAAAAGAGTAGGAGAATGCCAATTTCAGATGAAGCTGGGCTGTTCTTCTGTCTGTTCTGTATCATAGTACAACGGCTGTTCCTCTTCATTTCAGCATTTGCGCATCTGCCTGTTTTAATGCAACACTTGGCTAATAATTACAAACACTGGAAAACACTGGATGAGTTAAAGTGCAAGAGTCTCAGGCTCCCATCAGAAAACAACTAACACTAAGGCAAGAAAAACAGACCTCTTGATCTACCAGTTTCACTGTGAATCACTGAGTTGGCTACAAGAGGCATGGTGTTTCCTTTCCAGCGAAATTAAGACTGTGTGGCAAGAAGTATTTTTATTCATCACTTAAGCTTCTCTGAATCCTACAGAAAAATGTTTTCAAAAAGGCTACATAATCCACAGATGAATACGTGCTCTTTGGAAATAAGATTTTGTGACAGAAAATGTACTGCTGAAACTAGTTTCTAATACTGAATATGTATTTGTCAAGTCTTGTAACTGATACAACACATTCACTAACACTTCACGCAATTGTTTCTCAGATAGAGGGGTAATCTAGTCACCAGTGGAGTAAGAATAGGTTGATAAGTAAGCATAAAAACTTCCCACTCAGCTAGCATAAACTTGCTCCAATTCTATCAATATTCTTCAGCTCTCTGAACCATAGTTCTAAAGAGAACATGCACAGTATTACAAGTAAACCTTAATAATTGGATACAGTAAAAAACACCCTGCACCATTTAAAAAAACCTTTACTTACTACAGAAACTCTAAGAGTACCACCCATTCTTTTCCATTTAAAATCAGGGTAGGAGTCAAACGCCCTTAAAATTGGTCATATAATGCAAGAAAATAAGCATGTTCTGTATAGTTGGTGCCATCTTAGACATGTTTCTCTGCCATCTTAGAGATGTTATCATGTAATGTTTTGTCAAGCTTTACACAAAAACCCTTGTGGCACTTGATCAACATCCTTTTTTATAAACTGGTGTTTATACGCATAGTCACCAACTTTATTAAATTGATCTAAATTTTATGGTAAGTCCATATATTGTGCTACTTACTTCTAGGATGAACTTGTCGCTTTTTAAAAAAGTTTCCAGGTTATAATTTGTAATAATAGCATTACAATTTGTACTGCTTTCTCCCTCCTAATAAAATGCTGTTTGTTTTGTGGTGTAAAAAATATTTCAAAAGATGTAAATAATTTAGAAATCAAACATAGTTTTTCATTAGTTTTAAGATAAAAAAATTTATGCTAAAGCTTCCAAAGCACAAATGTGTATTTTTGTAGATCTCATTTTAAACACATGCAGAACATGGACATGAGTTCAAATTTTAGACTATTCTCAGACTATTCAGTTAATAAATATTGGCAGAACTGCTGATTTTTAACACTGTGCACTCCAGGCTGCAAGCAAGAGCATCAAAACTGTGGCTGCAGTAGAAGCAGCAGTCCACTACTCATTAAAAGGAAAGGTCTTGAGAAGTAGTCTTTACCTCCCTGTGCTGTATCAAGAATTGAACCCAGTGAAGGGCGGGGGGGGGGGGGGGGGGGGGGGGGGGAA